GGGGCATGTACACACGTGGTTCGAAACTGTAGGGGGCTACAAATGCGGCCATAACTAGTATATTTTTGAGGTGTTATAAAAAACAAATAATACTCACAAAAGCTTATAAAATTGCCGTTCTATCGATACCTTATATGCCATGTTTCATCCACCAACAACGCCACGACATCGATGAGAAATACGTTTCTAGACGGGCATTTTCTTCGAAAAGGATAGGAAGTTAATGAATTAAAATAATTAATTCTTTTAGTTAACGCATTATGTTTACCTCTTTATTTGTTGTATGCAATAAGTATAGACCTTACTAATAATGACTGTTTGGTTGTCACACCTGTGCATGTGTCGTGCGAGGTACAGCGGTAAGGTAAATTACCGAGAGTCGCGATGTGCGGGGTGATTCGGAATACCCTAAATGACGGTGGTCCATTGAATTTCTACTAGTAAATCAACCTGCCAAATCTAACATGGGCCCACATAATACGACTAAATTCGTTTCATGAATGAACTGGTTCTTAACAAATACATGTACAGTATACAATATCTTTTCTTTAGATCTGTTTGTTTATTATTTTCAACCACAATCTGCAGTACATGTATAGTTACACGAAATCCATGCACAACGGCGCTACACCTGTCAATCAAAATCTCTCGATATTGTGAACTCAGTCTGGTGTTACGGCAGCATTTCCGAAGTGATTCAAAATTCTATCGGCTAATTCTAATTTTTCGCGTTGAATAATAATATTTTGGAACAAAGTTGGAATTAAGGCTGGAGCTGCATGCTGTGAATTTATCACACCTGCAATCTTCCCTTCTTACATGTATATGAAGCATCTGTTGAGTAATGAATCAGAGAGCATAATATGCGGAACAAGTTTGATTGAGATTTTTACTTTTCCTTTAAGATAAAATGATTAATAACATAATTTATGCATCTAATAGATACATATAAATGTACATGTATAGCTTTTTAAAAACAAGAATCTGTAATTGAAAATGTGAATTAAAGTGAAGAGTTTAGGTAATAGTTCTTAACCAAAATTTAATGAAAGTTCATTCCTTCCTAGTCTCTATATAACTTTTAATTACGGCCGTGCCCTCTCCCCTTCAAAAGATGTCTAATACATGCTTTTAAATTCTGTTTATGTATCAAGAAATTTCCACAGGTACTTGTGGACAGGATCCCCCCCCCCCCCCCACGATCACTGGGAAGAACTCAAAGAAAGAAGACTCTTGAGGAAAAGATATTTTGATTCGACTTATAGACTGAAATAAACCGATATTCTCTTTTTGCCACTCTTTCCTGGTGCCCTGGGACTCTGAATGTAGGATCAGTATTTTTCTCACAGGTCCGTTGTACGGATTGTACGGGGGGGGGGGGGGGGGGGGGGGCAGACCTTCTGAAAATAGTCTTTTGTTGTAGTTTTAATATGTAAATTTTGATTTAGTTGCTGCTTGCACCCTCCCCACTCTTTGTTTCTCTACGATCATACATAGGCGAATCCCAGCAAAAATGTAATGACCCCCCCCCCCTCCAACACACACTTTTTTTTAAATGTGTATTGCGATAGGACTTAAAATTGGAAAACATTTTCTGTATATCTCTACATCGAAAAATATAAAACAAATATTTTTTTTTATATTTCCTTTTTAAAACAACATAGGTAATTATGCATAGCTAATTAAATACTGAATTAAATATTTAACTTTGCAGACAATATGCTCTGGGTTATAGAACATGATGTGAAAGCGTATCGTAATGCACCTTGTAATCCGTTGGATTTTCAGATTTAAGGCCAATGCGAAAACCCAAAGACGCCGACATTTTATTATGCTACTGTAATCGAAGATCCGGGGGGCATACAGTTTTTGTCCTGTCCACCTGTCTATTTGTCTGTTAGACTGTGTTAGCCTCTTTGTGCGCAAAAACTTTAACTATGCCCATAAAATTTGATTGGTTGGAACTACTGCTTTCATATTTCTTATGTGTATTCCTAGTAACAAGGACTTCCTTCAGGTACCAACATATTTGACCTCTTGACCTTGAACTTGGAGTTTGATCCTCTTTCGCAAAATTTTACCAAACTATAACCTTGGCCAAAACTTTTGAACAGTTGGTGCTATGGCTTTTATACTTCACATCTGTATCCCTTGTGATAAGTCTCCTCCTTGGGTATAAATATGTTTGACCATTTGACCTTGACCTTGGAGTTTGACCAACTTTTAAACAACTTTAGCCTTGACAATAACTTTTGAATGACTAGTACTAGGGCTTTTATATTACATAGGTAATTTTCTTGTGACAAGGCCTGTCATTGTATACCTTTAATTTTGACCATTTTACCTTGACCTTTGATTATGTCCTACTTTTGAAAAACTTTAACCTTGGTTTTAACTTTTGAACAGTTGGTGCTAAGGCTTTTTTAATACCACATGTGTATTCCTTGTAACAATTAAGACCTTCCCTCAAGTACAAACAATTATGTTCCCTTGACCTTGGAGTTTGACCTTTTAAAGAAATTAACCCTTGGCCATAACTTTTAAACTGTTGCTGCTGTGGCTTTCATACAAGTATATATTTCACAGTATATTCTTTGTTCAAGACCTTTATTTGGGTAATAACATTTTTTTTTTATCTTTTGATCTTGACCATGGAGTTTGACTTGCATTTGAGAAACTTTTAACTTTTGCCATAAGATGCCATATGGGGGCATCAGTGTTTCAAAAATCACATGTTGTTCAGTATCCAAATTGGGCATAAAACATTTACAATGATCCTTTAAAGCAGTGAGTTGAACCTAATAAATTACGACTATAGAAATTATGATAATTTATTTCGATGTATGGTCTAAAAAAAACGTTTATTATACCTCTGTGAAAACTAGCTTACAAGTGAAAAATCACTAGTAAAATAGAATTTGATTGGCCGAGAAAGTCACGTGTCCATCATGTTTGCCCTGCAACAAAACGTCGTGTTTCACGATTGTGACGTCACAATTAAACGAGTGAGGAGTTAGATTGTTTATAGCGACGCTGCTAACTTCGTTCGCGCGGTAACAACAACTTAAAATTCACCCCAAAAAATCACCTTAATTAATGGAATTGCATACAGATATTAGATTAAACGTTCTTTATTAAAATGTTTGCACTTTTCAAAATTCGTTTATGGAAATACAGCTAACATACGTCATGAGACGTCACAGTCTAGACGTTCCAAATGTCTCGTGCTGTTTGAAGAGGCGGATCTTAAAATTAAGTGAACAATGCACTCGCCCAACGGTCGCACCGTCAGCATATTATCGTTGATTGATTGTGTCGATTTAAATGTGTAAAAATGTAATGGTGTTTGAATGTTACTGGTGTGATCACACAAACTTGTCACGTAGGATTTTTTTTTTAATGAAACGAGGCTATTGGTGTACCTGTAACTTACATCTCTTTCATATCGTTCTCATCAAATGCATGTTTGCTTTATTCATTGGATCTCCTTTGTAATTCCTGCATTTTGGTTAATTCGGTATTATAAACAATTTATTGCATAATAGTGAGGGAGACATAAAGATTTCTTCGCAAATGAAAAATCATATTTCTCTCGGGCGTTGCCTTCGGGGAGTATGATTTTTCATGGGCGAAGAAATCTTCAAGTTGCCCTCGGGGAATATGATTTTTTATGGGCGAAGAAATCTTCATGTCTCCCTCACTATCATGCAATAAATGCAAACTGTGAACTTGTCAACTGCGAAACACACAAAAGGGTATCGCTGATATCATACAGAGTGTATCATTGCCTTGATCAGGCCCATAGGAAGCAAATTCAGGGGTTTTTTTTTGGGGGGGGGGGGCACAGCCATACATTTTCAGTTGACAGTTGAGGGGGCACTACTACCATAAATTTCCTGACAAGCAAAAAAAGGTCACCAACTACCAAAAATTCTTTGACAAGCAAAAAAAAAAAAAAGAAGGTTATCAGACGTTTCTATTGAGGTGGCACAAGCTATAGTACCTATGTCTACTATAGTAATCTATATATCGGCAAAATTATTGGGGGGCACGCCCCCCCCCTCCCTCGGTTCCTACGGCTATGTTGATTAAATTTAGGGTCACTAAGGAAAGAATGTTTTGACTGGATGAATGGTCTGAAAGAACATGTGTTAACTTGTCGAGTCGGTAACACATAGATGGGGTTTGCTTATAACCAGAATGTGTCATGGTTTGATGCAAGGTCATTTGAACGAGTTCAAGGTCATCAACGGAGAAACAACATTCCTTAACTGTCTTTCTACTGGTGAGACATTGCAAGTTGATACCCCTTACAAGATTGCTTATAACCTTAGAATGTGGCATGACCTTGACTCAAGGTCACTTCTTCCTGTTCGCAGCTCCAACGGAAGACCTACTCGTTGCTTTGCAACGAGCTCTGCTCTAGTCTTCTTTATATCTTTCTTATCAGACGGAGGGATTGTAAAATTTTTCAATACTGTAATAGTGTAAAATTCCACGTTGCAGTGGCGCCGTGTAGATGTATGAAATGCTATATTTTACTGTGACCCAACAGAATACTGTTTCCTCATGAAATTAGGAAATTACCTTTCCCCAGTTAAGAAACTGACAATACCTTCATCTCTTTTAGCAAAATGAATATAAGCAAAACTATGTTTTAATTTTCTGAAATCCCCAAGGGTTACTGACGTACCGAAAACTAAACCCATCCTCATAAACTCGCGACGGTGTACCATACCGACGCCAAGGTAATAGGTGATTGGACACTTCTCACTTTTGAAATCTGACAATAATCCGAGCATAAATGACTTTTATTCCCCATAATGTATGCGATAAAAATAGTATATGCAATATTTATAAAAGAGCTCGTTTTGTAGATTCGTATTACATTGTTCATACATACTTTGAAACCCTAACCTTGACTCCTCATGAAAACATTTATTGCTATATAAGATATATTGTTGGACGATAATCTGATTATTGTGTGATTTATTGCGCAGATTCAACAGGGGATTGCTTGACATTTGCATTGAAAAAGAAATGTAAGAACGCCATCAAAAGAAATAGTAAGCGGAAGCACTGGGCGCGGCGCTGTGAGATCAACTTCCTTCCGGTTGTTCACATTCGGAAGGCCTCTAAAGCAAAGAAAGAAAACAGCAAATACAACTATCTAAAGTGCTGGAAAGGTATTAAGGGGTTTGGACACTGCCCTCTACTAAGACCAGAAAATGAGACAAAAGATTTAATTTGTAATCCAATACGTGACAACACAAAAAGATGTTCCACAACACATGAAACTGTGCATACAAGTTGCAGAGTGTTTGAAATATGTGATCAGGCAGTCATGTTGTCAGGGGGCTGGAATCGTGAAACTAGCAGTGTTCGATTCAAAAGTAATTTAGCGGAGTTCTACGTCATGCTACGAAACTATGGCTTCAAAAAGCGAAATATCAAGATCTTTTACGCCAATGGAGCATCAAATTTTAACAGTAAGTTGCACAATTTAAGCAATCACAATACTACGACCTTTGTTGACTATGAAAAAAATTGTATGACGACCTGAATTATTACACAAAAAAGTTATTAAACAGAGTGAAATAAAGAACTAAAGTTTATGGATATAAATGCTTTGTATATATAAATGTCATTGCTAAAGTAGCGTTCACAGGCTCAAGTAGGTTAATGGCGTTGGGTATTAGTAATCTATTTATAAACATGTACTATACAAAATCTTTTAAAATAATTAATGTATAAAGTAAAAAAGTTGATATATCAATCAATATACGGTGATCTATATGTGTTAACTGAGAAAACATTACGATTGGCCAGAAAAGAGAACCACGAGTCTTTTGATTGGATCTTTACCTTTGAAAATATTTTGGGGAAGGTGGTGATTGGTACATGTATATGTAAGTAATTATTCTCTACCGAGTTGCTAATAGGCACTGATGAAGGTTGCTTTTACTCGATACAGGTACATGTAGATCTACTTCCTACGAATCATGCTTCTGTATTATTATTTAATTAAGTCAATTAATTGCGTGTAGCGCTTTTATTGCCCGAATACACCACACTCAAGGTCGATTGAGAGTGTTACATCCTTTGATCTAGATCTTGTTGGTCAAGCACCAGGGGGAGGGCATGTCAATACATTAACAGAAGACAAACTCTGTCGGTAAAACGTAAGGTGCATTCTGTAAACGAACTATCAAATAGGCACATTTGTTTAGTTTGCAAAGTAAATATGAGGTGCAGTGCCCGACTGTTTATTGTATTTTCATTCATATCGCTAAATCTTGTGTTTGCAGTCTCAAGGTCAAATTAGTAAATCAGTTCTGTTCTGTTAAGAAAGAAAGACTGAGACCATTGTGGATGTTACTTTCAACTATTTCATTAGAAAAGTCTCAGCTGGAATTATTTTGTAAACGTTAAATGATTTTAGATTAGTTTGATATTTATATTACATATTGTTGAATAATCATATATTTCAGATCAACTGAAGATCGAGCCCCATTTTTTTAAATCCAAAGTGGCCCCCTTAAAAACTTTGCGAACGTGAGTTTGACCGATGAAGGCCTCTCACAGCTTTTAGATAGTTACATCTTCAGTGTGTACATGTATAATGACCCCAATCCAAGCACAAATTCTAAATTCACTCCTTATTTATAGGTCCCTGATGGATTTAGTTCAAGGTCTTCATCACAAAGGTTATAAGAAATTATCATTTGTTTTTTACGCTGGCTAAGAACAGGAAGTAATTTATCTTTAAGGTATATTCTCAAAGGTCACTGCCTTACTTAGTATATTGTATAAAAGATCTCAGACTAAAACAATCTATTATATATGAATGAAAGAGAAGAAATAAAAGAAAGAAAGGGTTATGTCATCATTAGTTGCATATAGACAAGCAAAACAAAACAAGCAAAAAACAAACAAACAAACAACAAAAATAAACAATCACCTTCAAATAGAAATTCGTTTCGTTGACAAATATTTTAATCAATGATTATTTGAAATGGCCATTATGACGTTACGGTTGCTTATAATTTAAGGTCTCACATACATGTAATTTGTTCTAGATTATTTGTGTTTTCATTGTATCTGTATTATATCAAGAGAGACACCACAAAGAATCGCACAGAAAATCATTGTATTACCGTAAAATGTACTTTGTTCAAATTAAATTTAGATAACCGAAGTGCAGCGATATAATTTCCACAACGACGTATAGTATTTCGTTATCTTTTAAAGCGTCAAAATCAGAATTCATGTACATTTCTAATTAACCTGGGCGTTTTTAGTGCAAAAGGTGTCCGCGAATTTAGGTGAACCTAGGATAAAGAAGCAAAGGAAATTCGAGCTGATGTTGTGGAGATATCCCGGTTATACAACAGCGATAATAAGTACATCGACTTTTATTAATCTCCCACCAAACCCTAAATATCTTTTTCACTCGTAACATGTTCCATGTGATGAATCTAGTCGAAAATTGACGAAACGTAAAAGTTTGGTAAAATGCACGTGTCAGTTACGTTTTTCTCTCATAGAAATTATACTTGTAGCAATAAACAACAGAGTTTGAGTAAATGCTTATTTCTTTACATACAATTACAAAATAATTAAATTTATTTACAATTTTTTGCAAGTCTATTAAAGTCATGCAGTGCAGAAAATATATTCATTTTTATACAATTATATATAAACTACAAATGCTATAATATTACATGTAATAAGTACATGGATAAACTGTCCAACAAGCACATTATATTCATTGAATTATCAAACCAAAACCCATTATATGACTACAAGTAAAGATTTTCATTTTTTTAACTTTTTCTCTAAAAATTTTGACATGGCCATATGGTTCATACGTAATAGACAAAGTAAGCACTGTACATGTTTTCAAATTACTCGAGCCCAGAAAGTACATTTGGTGTAACATTTTCTAGACAGTGTTGCCCGCGAGACGAAACCAAGTTTGCGTAAAAATGGATCGATTCCATACCAAAGAAGAAGTCAACTCTTGTCAGAAAACGACTTTCTCTGTTTATACAAAAGTGACCAAACATTAAAAAATATATAGAAAGTTATAGTTGTGAAGGTGGATGTATTTATAAATCAAGTGATCATCATGATCCATGCATGATCCTTTGTCTAACTTATTTTGCGCTAGCATTAAATCAAAGGTCAGAAATGAAATTTTTGCCAATAAATGGTTAATATAATATATTCATTTATGTTCCTGCTTTAAACATATACACTTATATGTCAGTTAGAGCAAAGGTTTGCTTTCTTTTTGTATTTCCCCCATTAAACAATTTTTATATGAACTTTCTTGACTGTACTATCCTTTATGCTGAAAAAATTGTCATAAAATTTTTTACATCTCCAAATGATCACCCATTTCATGCTTTCCTTAGTTCCCGGTGAGCATGCGCACCAGGTACATCCGGCTGCCATGAAGTATGCCTTCCGGTACCACCTTCAGAAGCTCTGTCGAGTCCCACACTGTGTAAATTCTTTGGTCGTGTATCTAAATAGTCCAGCAAAGAACGATGGCACAAGTCTACTCTGGGACGTCGATAATAATGGACTTGTAAGTAATCAGTTTTCACCTATATATCAATTTATTTTTATAAATGCCTTTTCATTTTTTAATTCATTTATTTTTGGGGGATGGGGGTGATGGTGTTGGACCAGGCGACACAGTCATTCGCATATTCTTTTATATAGTTCTATATGGAGAGAAAAAAAAACAAAAGGGTATAAGATAGACATTCAATTTATTTCATAATTCATTTCACACATGTCTTAAAGAACCGGCAAAATTGAAACTCTGTTTTCATAAACTTTTCTATAAGATCCAGAATGAAATTCCTCCTTTAATAACTTAAAGAAAATAAACTAGTCTTGACTCTTGATTTGCTTCTGGTAAGTGACATCATTTGTCTCTGAGAAACTTGTGCAATGAGATTAATTTTATTCTTTCTTTTAAAAAAAAAGGGTTATATAGTTTCCTAATAATCATTAGACTTTTACACTGTATACATGTATTGATGCGAAAGATTTTCTTTCAACAGTTTTTACGACCTTTATCAAATGTGTAACTCAAATCATAAATGTTTATTAATTTTATTATTCTTTTATTTAGAGGTTTATTTATAAATTTTGTTTTTATCCCTTTTATAACGAACTCTTATATTCTAATAATTGGACAGGTAGTTTTACTCAAATGAAAAGATTCTAAAGACTTCGTATTTCAGACACTGCATACATGTATGTATATATTATACCTCACTATTACATCAATAAGAAATGTAAAGCCTTTAAACAGATCGAAAAGTCGTCAATGTCTTCAAAATTAAAGATCTTTCAGATTTAAATTGAAAAGGTTATCTTCATTTGAAATATGTATTATGCAACAATTATCGACTAGTAGTCCCCCGAGGACTGTAATATACTTTGAAGTTTCTCTCGAAAAAATTCAATATTGCCGAAAGTAGCATATAATTCTTACATTATGTCATTCTCAAAAAAATGTTTGATGTTTTATCAATATTTGGAGAGGAAAAATATCTAGCAAGGAAAAAAATATTCCTGACCAACTGAATGCATACGTTGGGTATTAAGGAAATTGGATGTCATATCTGGCGTTCATAAATACATGAATGTACAGTGCACATAATCATGAAACAGCACATTACAACTGCATGGAATCAATAGTGTGAATATATTTTTTTTTTACTTTGAATTAAAACAATCATTTCAAGATTATACACGATACTCGGATAATCGACTGAACTCTTAAATTATCTGGAATTCAAACAGTTAAATTAGAAAATGGAACCGTTTGTAAAATGTATCAATAGATTTTCTTTTAATTTTTTTACAGTTTAAATGATCGATTGTAATATTTTCTATAGCATTAATGATACGTTATATACAACACACGCATAATTTGATGCAAGAAAAATGCATAACAATATCTCACGCAAGGCTATTCATTATTTGAGATTTCCTGCAAAGATACTAATGAAAATCAAAAAGCCGTGATAACAGTTGATAAATTCCTGATACAATTCATCGACAAAACTATACCAAAACTCTCAATTAAATGGCGAAACTTTGGAAGTCTTTTCTCACGAAAGCCAAAAAATTATTTTCTACTACAATTTACAGAATACAGATTTCACGGTATAATACATGTTCATCACGGAGGTGGTCTTTTTAACCCCCTAATGATAGGTCTTAACGGATTATTAGAGTGATATTAGCTGAAGCGGAGATTTATGGTCTGCAAAACCTCAAAAAATAGTTGATATAGTGTTTTTTTTCTTCTCCTTAATATTTAAATGACGTGCCCGTGGTTTTATCGGCGGTATACATCTAAAGCTTGAGACTATTTATAAATGAAGAGTTTTGTTTCATGATCAATATTATCAACATACCTGGATCCTGTTGAAGCATTTGAAATATCAGGTGTTGATACCATTTAGAAACCATCTTCACTTTATTTGTTGAAATGAATAACACAGGATTACCCTTAGATGTCTAAATTTTAAATATATGCGTTAATTTTAATGCAATTTATTTCTATAAGTATATTGGGATGAGATTCCGCAAATTTAAATCATTAAAATTTCTTCAGAGGGATCTTTTCCCCTCTATCTACCCAATTTAAAATTACGGATTGAATCGGGAATATTTCATTTTAAATTTTAAAAAATCATATAAAGACCGTCCAGTGATTTTTTTTTTTATCGAAATTTATTTGTAGCTTTTACTGTCATAAATTAGAAATAAACTGGAAGTACATTTCAGAAGTCATCACTATAAAAAAAAAATATCACGTTTCCTGCAATTGCTTAATTTCTGCAGTTTTGATCTAAGCGTTGGAATATCGTTTGCAAGATTATTATAACTATTAGAAAAAATATGAATATTCAAACATGAAAAGTAAATTATTACAACGAAGTATTCATAAATAATTAAAAAAGATACTAAGAGATAAAAATATAAACGTATGTATCAGCACTGTGTTCTACTAATATAAAATCCGTACTTTACCAGTCAATCATCTTTGCGCTATCTTCTTATATTGACCTTAAATGCCACCCTTTTGGCGCCAAGAATTTTATTAAATTATTAAACCTATCATAACAAGGTTCATGATTCAATATCTATATCTCTTTGAAGTTTTAAAGTTTAATTGTATTCAAGATTTTTGTTTATATTCAAAATGGACAGCAAAGGTTTAGCATTGTTTAATGAAGTCAATATAGGGGTCTGGGATAAATGCTTCCAACGAATTTCAACAATGAATGAAGTAATGAAAATAGTCATGATATTGGATTTTTTTCTGATTAGAATTTGGAATAAAAATTGACACCTAAGAGCAGTCACCTTTACTTTGTATACCTATGTATAAATTAACATAATTCTCTGACACAAAAATTAATGAAATTCTCCATGGAATAATGCAGTTTTTAACAATTGTTTGACTTACCTCTCAGGTGAAATGAATCTAAATTTTAGCATAGATTTTCATTTTTAAAAAATAATCAATACAGGATCAGAAATGTACGGAAGCCCATTCAGGACCAATCAGAAATATTTTTGAATTCGATATAGCAATTGTTAAATTTTTTAAAACGACTTTAATTCATTATATCGTTTTTTAGATTAGTTATACCAAATTTAATCTGATTTAACAAATAACAAGAAATGAATTTAAAAATTTGTTATAACGAATTTGAACAATTACCTAAATTTGTTTTAATGAATTAAAAACAATTACACGAATTCGATAATTCGTTATATCCAGTTTATAAATATTTTTTCAATAGGCCCTACTTGTCAGAATTTGATTAAACGAGAAAATTGTTTTGACAAATTTAAGAATTCATTTAATCAAATTTAATTCGCTTTAAAAAAATTTTGAAATTCTATTTCACGAATTCAACAAATCTATTAAACAATTTTTTTTTTAATTTTTTTTTTTTTTTTTATTGTTATAACGAATTCAAAATTTTTTATAGCAATTTAAATTCGTTTCTATAAATTTGATAATTCATTATTTTGAATAAAAAAATATTTTTGCAAAGGTCCTAAATAAGCTTCCGTAAAAATGACCCGAACCTGCATGTTGAAAAACAACCCTTAAATTCTTACCATACAGCCATAATAGTAATATCTAGACGGGTTTTTTTAACTGATTGATTCCAATCAACCTATACCACACTTATTACAAAATCCCGCTTTTTTATCGAGAAGCTCGAAAATGCTCCATTGCAGGAACCATCCGACCGGAAGTTTAAAAAAAAAAATACGGAACCAAAGGTGTCAGTCAGGCTTCCGCAAAAGAAAAGAGTTACATACTAATTTCTTTGAAAATATTATTAATTTGAAGATAAAATTGCATCAATCTTAACTACACTTCTTATAGTAGCGAAGAAATCTTGCAATGGACGTAAAAATTACAATCAATCAATCAATCTTATGATTTTAATAGACATATTGCTTTGGTGCTTTCACTGAATATTTGTAAGTTAACAATACTAGAAAGCAATGTTTAGACATCGATTAATGGAGTAAACTTGAGGACGTTCGATCCTGAGCTTTTGAGCAGATTTTGGTCTGGAGCTTTATTTCTAAAATTCTGCATTATTTTTAAGTTCTAACATTAAATCTGGATTCTACAATGGAAATTATACTATATCCAATGAAAAAAAAAAACGCGATTAAATTCCATTCAAATAGGATTAAGCCAGGAACTATATTTTGTGGCGGAAGATTTTTTAGAAGAAAATGATCATTTTTTCCCTTTTGAAATATATACAGTACTGTTAAGTTTAGATTCCTATTTTTCCATGCTGGTTGCACACAGAGCTATCTTGTGCATTGAAATGTTTAATACTGGTTCTAAAATATTAATAAAATCAGTTTTTGTGAATTCTTTCATCATATTGTGACAAATATAGAAAATATATTCTGAAACTCCAGGAAAAAATTGAGCCAATTTTATCACAAAATTAACAGTTTTTTAGTAATATCTAAAAAATAACATCATAGACCTCCACTTTTGATTTTCTTTTCTGAATATATAAGATAACTCTGATCAATCTACTTAAATTCAGCAAAAGTTTAAGACTTTAAGATATTTTTCTTGCTTGTTAAATTTTTAATGCCCGAAAAATGACATTTTGTGAGTGCAGAAAGGTCAAATAATTGATAATGCGAAGCAATTTGAAAATTTTTTAAGAAAGAATAATAGCATACTTTGTCCCATGATTTATTTGGATAAAAAATATTGGAGGGAAAACGTCGAAGATGTTATTTTTGATTAAGACACAAATTCAGTGCAAAAAGGTCATTTTAAATGTACTGTAGCGCAAAAAGAAGCATATTGAACCCCATTTTTTGTTTTGATTTTTAATTAAGCTATGTGTGTACAAGCTAAAAATATACTTGACAAAAAAAGTTTAAGACTTTAAATATCAGGATCCAACGTCGTTAAGTGTTTGATTACTATCGAATCGAAGGTGTCTGGTTAATTAGGATCATGTTCAATTCTGCCGGTCCATGTCTTAAGACTTTGATAATTTAATTTCGTTTACAGTATTTACTTTACTATTTAAATCAAATTAATTTTTGAAATCGTTTTTCGTGCATTTGGTACTCATTTTTTGATTTACAATCGATAATATATGGGGGGGGGGGGTTAATTTTTTTTTAAAACTGTAATATAATGGGTTTTTTTTTAAATGTTTTAATCTGCAGGCTGACAAATCGGAAGAATATACCATCAGGGAGCTGAGGGAAGACCTTGCATTATGTGCTGCTAATTATGTCCATCTGATCGTCGACCAGAGTTTTTCCGGAGACATTGCTGACGCATTCAAGAACTCCAAACGTCATCGCAACGTCATCGTTTTCGCCAGTGGCGCAAATAATGAATATGCATATGATGATGAGTATTCGCGTCAGTGGACTAGATCCAATCACACGCATCAATGCACATGGAACATACACGAGGTAAAGAATGCTTGTTAATAAATATATATAGGGAGCGGGAGTCCTGAATATGCTATATGCTTCCGCTAGAAGTACATGTATGTAAACGTTTTTAATTCATCTTTTTGAGGTGACCCTCTAAACCTTTTTCATAACTTTTTTTGATTATTCTAATTATAATCTTTAAAAAGGTAAAAACAAAAGGAAAAACTTTTAGAGAAAGGAAAGAAATGGCCTAAAATGGAAACAAAAACGTAAAGGAAGAACCAGAAATCAATACTCATACTGATCACCAAAATTTTTCTTACCAGTGTAGGTGTGGATGAGAATAATTATATGCCAGATTCTTGATTAAATTAAAATCATTACTTATTATACAAAAGTCGTGTTTTATGAATGAATACATAGTCCCCAAATTTCTATTAAAAAAAAAAAAAAAAAAAAAAAAAAAAAAAAAAAATCTGGTTATCAAACATATCTTTTTATCGGTCACTATTTGTAATTGAAGCTTTTACGCATTTACATTTGAAGCTTTAAAATAATCTCTTTATACTTTAGTGTTTATTATGAATTTAGACACCATCAACTATTCTAGCAATCAATAATTATTTCAATTGATCAAACCTTTCCTGTACTTCATTTTGCAAAATACTTATGAAATCAACAAAGCATAATCTATATTAAGAAAAAAATATATACGTAAAAAATTGAAGTAATTATAAAACATTCTTATCACGAACAAAAAGCATGGGACGTCTGTTGAAAGCTGAATAGCACAAAAAAATATAAACTGACGTAAAAATGACGAAAATAGCTTTATACAAACCATCAACATTGCGTGCAGACTTCTGCAGAATGAAAATTAAGGGTAACAGGTATAAGACACAGGCACTGATAGGCACAAACCGCAAAAGTACCAGCTGAGTCTATTCAATAAAGAGATTTCTGTAGAAGCAAGACAGAGAGCGAGGTTAAATTTCCATATATAAAAATATATTATTTTCTTCTCTGGTATTGAGGTTAAGTACAAAGAAGGTACATATCCTAATTTTATTCAATAGAAAATAAATAATTATACCCATTCACGCCAACCGTAAGTAAAATTAGAATAAGCTGAAATAGAATTCGATCAAATTTTTTTGTCAGGTTATACAAAATTTAATCAAATTAAACGACAAAAATTTAAGGAGCGCGCAATAATGCTATTGAAAGGACTCGAAATATTTTATTTCAAATAAAAAGTTAATCAAACCCGATGAAAAGCTCAGACGTTTTACTAGTTAGCACGCACCGCGTGATTGATGGGTAAACATATTTCATATCGTTGAAGAACCTACCGACCCTCTTTGGAACGTGATTTTCTGGTATTTCATTGATAACGATCATTTTCGTGGCTACAATAATAATCTATACAGATATTTTGACGTGGTGGAATTCCATTCATACTACAAATCTGTTTCACTCAAGCCTGCCCGGTTGGACTGCAACCATCATTTTCTCGAGAGCCTTTTGTTTCGTTCGATCCATGCATTTAAAAGGTGACAAATTAAAAAAAAAGTTCAATCATATGTAAGGAATATTTAGGATTTTTAAATTCTTGAATATTACTTTCAAAATAAATCATGTAAAATGATTTGTTTTTATCAGTAAAAGTCTATACTTTAATGCGTTTTCTTATATCACTTTTTATGTACTTTGCTGAAAAAAAAACAACCATTCAGTATTATTAGCGCTGTCGTCATTTTGATAACTAAGGTTAATGAATATCAAGTTTATTGACCATTTGATATATCAAAAAATGCACAGGTTTGTAAAATCCAAAAAATGCGTTACCAGATTGATTTGTTTTTCTGATTAGATGGGAAACATCCGGATGCTGTAGTTCTAAACAAAAAACCAAAGAGCTCTCAAATCTACATCTGCTCATTGTTTCATCTGATAACGAAAGATTGAAAAGAACACATGGAAAGAACACAAAGGTTATAGGGCACCGCAAGTGATCACAATTCGTAGGAGGTCTTGTAAAATTGTTGATCCAGAAAGATTAAATGTGTTCGATTTGTATACTTGTTGTTTAAATATTGATGAGAGAAAGACAGTTTAAATTGCAATATACGAAATTCAATCATTTAGTTTATTACTTGTACTTATTCTCTTGTCCGGAAAGCGAAATTTTGGCAAAGAGTGAAATTCAGAATGAAAATGATTTTGTTAAACGAGTATGTGGATAACGTCTGTTGTTTTCACAGAAGGCATACATTTGAGTATATCTATATCACTGCTATTTCGTTTTATTAAACGTGAAAAAGTATAGTACACTAAGTGATTCAAAAATAGTGAGAACGGATAGAAAATGATTCCTGATACTGTAAATATTTTAGAGGTCCAGACAGAGGTTTAAGCGAAATCATTTTAAGTTGAATCATTGCGAATCTTGTACAAACATGATGCTTGATGTAGATCATGGTATAAAACCTTATTTCTTGTTTGCCTTATTGCATAAGACTTGCATCTTATTGTATAAAAACAATGGTACGAACGATGCAAATGCTTCGTACATATTCTTCAAATTACTAATGTCTCCTATGATATCACGCGTGGCCCATGGTTTTCCCAATTTTCTTGCCCCTTGGAATTGAAATGTACTAATGATATTACTAACGTTTTCTTTTTTATTTTACTAACGTCTACTTTTGTCATCTTATATATTGATTACATTACGTCATTCTGACATGCAAAATGTTTGTGTTTGTTTACGTCTTTAGGTAAAAACTAAACCTAAATCAAAATCAATCGATATTGATGTCTTCAGTCTTTAAACATGCACTTGAAACAAGAGAATGTAGAGCACAAAAGATAAAATATCTAAAATATTCCTTCCAGGGGAGGTATTTCATGTACAAGTTAAGCGGTCCCCTGTTGTGACTAAACATTATTGCTACCCCCACCTACTTACTTCGGGTCAAAACAAACATTAGTTTTGAATTTAACTGTGCGCGTTTAATGCATAGATAATTAACATCTAGACTTTTCAATAACTTTTTGTTTAAAATAGTTCGTTTTCAGACATAAGTAATGACATTTTCTAGCTCTCATTATACGATAAATAGATTTAAGGTGGTGGATCTTGATCTATTAAAAGTACATCGTGCAGATGAAGGCGTTTAATTGTTTATTTGTAACTGCATTTTTATGATAGATCAATGCAGTAGGTATTATTTTGTTTTCATATTAATAAACTTAATTAATCAAACCCGCAAAATCTGTTTATTAATCATGATTGTAAAAGTAAATATAGTCAGTCTACTTGAATATATGATGGAGTCCGACAAAACGTAGTCAAAAACAAGCGATCATATTGCTAAAATTTCATATTCATTTAACATAATGAACTCTTTTCTTTGCAGCATAGCAAAAATGCTATCAAACATTCCACACCGGAAGTAAAGGAAGGGGAAAGAGGCGAAGTTCGTACCACAATATTTGGGTCCCCCTGCAATGTATACCCTCCTTTCACTGCCAAGGAACTCAAACAAGACTACCTTGGATGTCAGGCTTTGCCCACTGCATTGTGGATAAAGAAACTGCTTTCGTCATCAGAGGAAACGGAATTTGGACGAGATTATGCAAATGAACCATGGGCGTGATGTTTCAAATCTTATCAATCTTTTTCTTACATGAAACCGTTTCATTGTAAAAGATAAAGAAAAAAAACTTGGATTCAAAACAATAATTGTTTGCCGCTAATCTTTCATCCTGCCGAATCATGAGGGCCTCTTTTTGATGAGAAATCTATACACTGTATCCTGTGACACAACATGAAGAAGATTCATGTTGACCAGTTATTGTATATAAGATGTTTTTATATGGTGAACACAACATTGTGATGAATTCTTGATACATTTGGCTTCTGTAATCGTGTGAGACATTTTAATTTCCTTTCGTCGTTAAAGGAAATGAGTGCTTGCAGAAGCCATGTCAAACATGTGGTAATGTTGAACCTATCAGGAAAAAATCGGCTGATTGACAAACATGATTCCTGCACCTTTGTTTCAGCAGTTGCTTTTTGTACGTTATCAAATGTGATGTGATTTTGAATTTATTAAAAAAAAAATACATTTTTGTGGTTGTAACCCTCTGAAAGAGAATGAAGATTTTAATTCTCTTTTGAGGGATTTTTTGACACTCCTGACATTGTGGAGAGGGAATTTATGACGTATATTTATCATTCTAAGAGAATTGAATGTCATTATGATATATTTTATTTTACATTAAAATAAGTTGAATTAGTGTAATAGAAAAAAAAAATAAATTTACTAAAACAAAAAAAAAAAAAAAAAAAAAACATACGTGTAAATGTTTCAAGTTGTTTAAAATCCATCAATGATATATTAGAATTATTTCAGATTTATTTCAGAGACGTGCTCGTAAGTCGTACTATAACTTGAATGTTCACCTTAAGATTTGTTCCGACAGTATTTTTGACTTAAAATATTTATCTTATTCAATATTTGGAATAATGCATTGGTTTACCAAAGATTATATTTATTATATCATATATCACTGAAGAAATGTTTATAATTTATTAAAATATTGGAAATTAACTTTTAATGTGTTTTATATTTCATGAGTATCTTTAAACGTGTGCGTAATCTATAAAAACGCATGGCATTGTACTTTTAATGACAATCTAGTCAATAATGTTATGCGTTAATAACAGGAAGATGAATCAAATATTTCCCCTACCAATGTGTAAGAAATATCTAGCTCCTCTTTAAGGGACTCTTGTTACTTGGCCATCAAACCATACCCTCGTATACTGCTTGGAATTCATTGCAAATGAATTACGTACTCATTCAAAACATTTGTTTGCAATTATAGTAACAAAAATTATTTCTAAAAGTTTCTTAAGAACTTCGAACACAGGTACTCTTGGAGCGAGCCTGCAGGTGTAGGGAAAATATACATCTCGACCACAGCGATTTTTTTTTTATCAAAACCTACTCTTCAAGGATATATTTACAATATTTGATATGAAAAATTCAACAACAACAAAACAAAGAAAGAAATAAGTGTATTATTACAAACTTGTATGTTTGCAGTATTATTAAGTTGAAACTCGAACCCCTATCAAGGTATTCTACAATATTCTCCCTTTTATCGTTACATTAATTGTGAAATGCTACAAGATTTGAAAATGTCAAAGCAGAAACTACATAAGTTATTTAAATTGAGGGCAATTTCAGAAGTCTAAAAAATGTTGGGGTATTTTTCGAATGGATATCTAAATGATCAAAGTCTTTAATCTAGTTAAAATGTATATTTGCTTGACCGCATCGTAACCCATTGCGAAAGGTCTTATAAATTAAAGTATATCTACCCTGTGAAGTAAGAACAGAAATCCAGATACATGTAGATTTTTTTAAATTGGATTTTTTCGTATATTTGTTAGTCGGTTAAAAACAGTATGAACATTGGTCATTATATTTGGATGAGTAAAAAATTTTAAGATTTTTTTGAAATCGCTTCGGATAGTGGTGTCTTAGTCATAAAAACGTATGCGTGTAAAAAAGAAAAAAATATTACAAAAAAATATTACACTTTTGTTGAAATCGGGGGGTTCCTGACACTGACGTTTTGGGTAAAATACAGGTAGTATATAATCATATATTTTTTATAGAGTACCCAAGAAATGCATGCTTAGATCCCTACCGAGTGACTCATGAACAATAGTCATCAAATTCATGCCCAAGTAATAGTTTAATTTTTATAGCGCACTGCCTTTTTAGCTCACCTGAGCCGAAGGCTCAAGTGAGCTTTTCTGATCAAAATGTGTCCGTTGTCTGTCGTCTTCGTTAACTTTTCACATTTTCATCTTCTTCTCCTGAACTCACTGGTCCAATTTCAACCAAACTCCTTCCTTGGGTGAAGGGGATTCAAATTGTTCAAATGAAGAGTCACTCCCTTTTCCTAAGGGAGATAATTAAGAAATAGCGAAAATTTGGTTGCATCCTTTAAACTCTTCTTCTCAAGAGCCACTGGGTCAAAACAGTTGAAACTTATGAGAAACCTTCTTTACATAGTGTAGACTCAAGTTTCTTTAAATCATGACCCCCGGGTATAAGGTGGGGCTACAATGGGGGAATATATAGGAAAGAATCCAGAAAAATCTTCTTCTCAAGGACAGCGAAGTTTTTTGTAGTCATTTGATATAGAAGCATCCTCGGGTAGTGTAGATTTTGGTTTGTTCAAATCAAATTGGGTGGGGCCACAATGGGGGATCAAAGTTTTACATAGGAATATATAGAAAAAAATCTTGAAAAATTTTCTTCTCAAGAACAGCAAAACCATGAGTAGTCATATTAACATGGAAGTGTCCTCAGGTAGTGTAGATCAGTTTTGTTCCAATCAAAACCCATGGGGTTGGGTGGGGCCTCAACAGGGGATCAAAGTTATATAAAAGAATAACAATGAAGGATATATCAATAAAAAATTTTCTTCTCAAGAACATCAAAGCCAGTCTTATTAATTCAGAAGCATTCTCAGGTATAGTACTTTCAAATGTGTTCCAATCATGTCCCTGGAGGCAGGGCAAGGCCTTATAAGGACCTGTCAGATGTTTAAAATTTCACTATGGTTTACTGAGTAATAATAGTAGGGCGGGTGGACTTTACTTGTAATATTATTTCATGTGTGTCAAAACGTTGTGCCAAAATTGGTCAGGAATGTTAAAGTTTGCATTTATTTTTACATACCATGAATTAGTTACCATTCATCTTAAATCTGCATGTATTTCTTGACTTAACTGTCATTATCTTAGCAATTCTACATGTGTAGATTAGCTGCAACACTTTAAATCATCTGCTGGCATGCAACTTGTTTACATCTTGTCTGCCATCTTTATCGATGCATGTTAACTAGATTAGTTTCGTATTTAACCTCATGTTATTCATGTTACATTACAGGCATAGTTATACTTGCTATTAATTATGTTAATTATTATTGTGATTTCTAATATTCATTTTAGTAATTGTTTTCCCGATTTCATGTGTCTAAAACTTGTACTATATTTTTATCCATCCGCGATATTGTCTGCATACTCAGCAAGTTTACTTCTGTGAAATTTACAAGTTTCAGATATAAATTGTTTACTTACTTATTATAGACACATCTTTTGTAATTCATATTTATTGTTATTTTGTTTTTTCACAACTTAATTCCTGGGTTTGTTTATAATCCATATTGTACGACAACTTTGTTTGACAGTACGACACGATTTTTATTTTGTACGATGTCGTACATTGTCGTGATTGGTGGAACGTCGCCGTACAGCATTTGTATTGGTTGAATCTTGTCATGTGAATCTTGTCATGTGACCCTTTTCCGAAGGTTATATATAGGAGGCGATCGCATTATGTAATCAGATAATTTGCCGAGTTGTCAGGCGCCTAAATTCAAAGTATAGATCCAAGATCCGCCCATATTTCACCATAGCCATACTATTGTGATTCCAGGTGAGAAAATGTTCGACAATTATCTCCCAACACACTGGACACCTATTTTATTGTAATCAACTCTGGAGATCATCCTACTAAAGCCATTGTACACCCACCCACCCCTTTTTATAAAAGTAGCCTGTACGGTAGACGCCACCAACCAATATCAATGTACCTGTTTAAATGAAAACTGCATTATAATTAATAAATATTATTGAGACCAAGATGAATCTTATGTTTTCCCTATTATACCAAGGGACCAAGGATTTTAGTACAGGAGTACTGACAGTTATTATTTTGTAGCGTCCCCAACTTAAGCTTGGCCATTCCCGGGGAGCTTACAGCCTCAATAGAAGATCAATGTCGGTACCACATTTATATTTAAACTTTTAAATACTGAACTGATTTCTACTTTTTCCTGGCCAAAGTGCTCAGGTGAGCGATGTGGCCCATGGGCCTTTAGTTTATAGATTGCAATCATGTATGATATTACTAGGAACTTTCCTTTGACTCACTTGTTGTTGCTTTCGCATCACTTCTATAATTTCACTTAGACACATCGAATTTCCTTAGTAAAATACGCGTTTGATGCAGAAAAATTAGGGATTACAGAAGGTTGGGACAATTTAATCAGGTACACTTGGAATCAACTGTACCTCATTCGATCACAAAAATGATATTGATTCCAAGAAATGTTCCTATTTCACAAACAAAATTTCGAAATTCAAGTTCATATGGGTATTGAAAACAAGCCATCAAGGATGACCGCTCCGCAGCCAGGAAGAATAACTCTCAAATCAAAACTATGAATATATTTTATGAAGAAGTCTCAAAATGAAGTTTAAAATTATTTTGTAAAACAATTTTATTTTATGCACCTTAATATGGTTCAAGGTTCTTTGAGGTGTTAGAAATGTTCTCATAAAAAGCAGACATTTGCAACCCATATCAGTACAGAAAAAAATATTTTTTTAGATAAATCGAATTTTCTTTAATCTTGCCTAAAGTAGACACAAGTACCAGACTGGTGTTTATTAGCATGAAATGAAATTGGAAGTGACCTGTTACAATGTATATCTTGCAATGATATCACCTGCTTTTTACGCTATGAATTGTTTATAACAATCGAAAAATTAAAAACACAGCACAAGTATTTCAAATGCCCAGACACCTAGTTTTTTAGAATCCTTTTTAAATACACTTCTTTATCAATTTTCAATTAGAAAATCTATAATTGGTGCTTTTATTTACGTTTCCTGAAAATATATTTGAGATCTGATATATTTTTTCTCATATAATTTGATTAACTACAATGATGAACTTTTAAGAAATAACATAGGTATATTTATATTACTTTGTAAATTGTGACATTTTTGATAGCATTTTCAATTACCTAATTGCTGGTTCTCAAAACTTTAGAAATTGACTACCTTATGTAATGAATATTTTGTTAAATATTGTTGGTCTTATTTTTTTCTTTTGATTTATAAATTACTTTGTAGGGACGAACAAGAATCGCAAAGCTCTGGAAAAAATTCAATAGACAACTAATTACAACGATGCCCTTATAAGCCTTTTTTTGAGACCTTTTAACGGTAAAAATTTTTACATGCCCCGTTATAAAAGGCGGTTGGTTTTTATTTCTAAAAAAAAACTGCAAGGCCTGATCGAATGTCAGAATGCATTTGTAATTTCCGTTATTATGAGGTACATAAGAAGATTAACAAAGCCATACTGTGACAAAAGCATATAATGCTTTCAGAGGGAAAACAACTCGGCAACTTCTAACAGTTTTTTTCTGCATTGGTTCACTGATTTGTTTTTCATTTACATCTTACCTTTTTGATTCCAGTGTATCAAATTATGACTCACCCGATAAAATGTTTTGAACAATACCTTAGATTAAATTGAACACTTCATCAAACAAATTAATGAAAATTTATCTTTGATAAAAGCTAAGATAATAAAGCCCTGGTCCTTTTATAAGGGACGTTTTTATGCATTATAAATATTGCTGAGAATGTCTCAAAGGGTTGATGCTAGCAAGAGTCATTAATCTGTCAACCATGTTGCGTTTTTGTCCCACTTTGATGTTTGATACGAAAGCAATTGAGG